ACTTTTAGAAAAAAAAGGTAAAAGTGCCCATAAAATGTAAAAATCAATTTAAACTTACTTGAAAAGATTCATTTCTATCACTGCTGTGAACTGACCAGCACACAGAATAAGAAGGATATCAAAAACAAGTTTTACACACACACACACACACAAAAGTACGTAGAGAGACATTTAAAAGGGTTTATTCTCCAAATAACTCTAATTTTATGTTGCAGAAAAATGTGTTTAGAAATTGTGTATGGACTCTTGTTCTTGTTCCAAGTTACCTTCCTGTTCACTGATTTTTGCCTCTTACAAAAGCCACAAAGCCTTCCAAGAAGACAGTAAATGTCTTATGTCATGCTTGAGCTTTGGTTAGGCTGAAACTTGAAAGTTAAGTTGCACGACAAATGCAGTATTTAGGTATTGTTATTATTTTTATTACTATTGTTTTGATTTATGCCACTGTTTACCTTTTTTAAAGTAAAGTGAAATAGATTTTTATACAGTGGGGAAAATATTTATTAGATCCCCTGCTGATTTTGTAAGTTTGCCTACTTACAAAGAAATGAAGGGTCTGTAATTTTTATGGTAGGTTTATTTTAATGGATAGAGACAGAACACAAACCAAAAAATCCAGAAAAAAATCATTTGCATTTCAGTGAGTGAAATACGTATTTGATCCCCTACCAACCAGCAAGAATTCTGGCTCCTACAGACTGGTTATGTGCCCATGTGGAACACAGATTAGTCCTGCCACTTTAAGAAGTTACTCCTAATGTCAGCTCGTTAGGTGTATAAAAGACACCTGTCCACACAATCTGTATCTAACATTCCAACCTCTCCCACCCCCATGGGCAAGACCAAAGAGCTGTCAAAGGATGTCAGAGACAAGATTGTAGATCTGCACAAGGCTGGAATGGACTACAAGACCATCAGCAAGAAGCTTGGTGAGGAGGAGACAACTGTTGGTGCGATTATTCGGAAATGGAAGAAATACAAAACAACCATCAATTGGCGCACCCGCAAACTGGAGCTCCGTGCAAGATCTTGCCTCATGGGGTAAGGATGACCATGAGAAAGGTGAGGGATCAGCCCTGAACTACATGGGAGGAGCTTGTTAATGATCTTAAGGCAGTTGAGACCACAGTCACCAAGCAAAACAATGGTAACACTACGCCGCAATGGACAGAAATCCTTCAGCACCCGCAAGGTCCCACTGCTCAAAAAGGCACATGTACAGGCCTGTTTAAAGTAGGGGTGCGCCGATCCGATATTCAGTATCGGTATGAGACGAGATCAGACAAGACCGATCCAAATCCGATATAGTGCGTATACTATTCTGTGTTATTATTAAGCCCCACGAAAGCCACAAACATTTATAAAACACAACGTTTTCGTGCCCTATATTTTAAGTGTTCTGAAGCCATTTCAGTTTAATGTGAGGTACAGGTGAATATTTAAGTCAAGTTCACGTAAACTCTTCTCTCCGCTGTGTCTGTCTGTCATCCTCCATTCAGCATTCAGACTGCTTGTCATGTTTGGTTACGACAGTCAAGATGATGAAACTCTCTCCAAGATGATTAAATGTTCTTAATGTTATACTTGATCTGTAAATAAAGATAAATGGTTTTGCATAAAAGGAATTTATCTTGCTGGAGTTTCGTGCCGTTTCTAAATCATGTAAATTTCTACTGGATATCTGGTTAGATCACAAGACTGGAGTAGAGAGCACTATGAATTGTTCGTCACGAGCGCAGTAAGTGAAATTTAAAACTGTTAAAAGAAAAGGCTCAATAAACTAACGCACATATTTAATACACTACACATCAATATCTCTTCACTTTGTGCTTTGTACTTCTCTATGTGGAGCGCTGCGACTCCGTGTTGCTGCAAGCGCATCATTCTGAGCAAGGGATGCGCATAAGCGCTTTGTGCCGCTCTGTATTTGGAGCCTTTAGTATTATAATACTTTTGCGCAATGAAAGATTATTAATAGCCTTTCTTGTTCGTCTTATCTATCATATGTTGCTGCCTCATTCCTCTGCTATCCATTTAAAAGAAATGTCTTTTAATTTATACAGTAGTCAACATTTGAAGTGGATCAAAAAAGTTAATCAAAGTTGTCCTAAGACAAGAACTTACTATAGACTACTATAGTATATATTTATATATTACTTGTTTTTCATGAATGTATTTTACAACAGTACAAAGAGCAATGCGCAGGCCTACCAGATTTAGTCCTACACTTACTCACTTTTATTTGTTACCCACTAAATAATGTTTTTTCACTAAATAATGTCATTAAAAGTTTAGGATTTTATCAAATTATTGTGCACTCATTTTTCTAGAGTAACTTTTGCTACTGAATTATCCATAAAGCTAGTTTATAATAGTAATTTTGTCACTGATTTTGATTATATATTTTTTGTTTATTTTTCTTTATAATGAAGCTGTCTATATTTAGTAGATTGTGTGTAACATACAAAAGAGTGATGATCGACCTACACATTCAGGTACAGAAATTCTACACTGATTTAAAAAAAACTGCGCTGGTATCCGATCGATATCGGTATCGACAGATACTCTGAATTTTTGGTATCGGATCTGAAAAAGTGGTATTGAGCCAGCCCTAGTTTAATGTTTGCCAAAGAACATCAAAATGATTCAAAGAAGGCTTGGGAGAAAGTGCTGTGGTCAGATGAGACCAAAATTGAGCTCTTTGGCATTAACTCGACTCGCCGTGTTTGGAGGGAGAGAAATGCTGACTATGATCCCAAGAACACCATCCCTACAGTCAAGCACGGAGGTGGAAACATTATGCTTTGGGGCTGTTTTTCTGCTAAGGGTACAGGACGACTTCACCGCATTGAGGGGCAAATGGACGGGACCATGTACTGTAAAATTTTGGACAAGAACCTCCTTCCCTCAGCCAGAACACTGAAGATGGGTCATGGATGGGTCTTCCAGCATGACAATGACCCGAAACATACTGCCAAGGCAACAAAGGAGTGGCTCAAGAAGAAGCGCATTAAGGTCATGGAGTGGCCTAGCCAGTCTCCAGACCTCAATCCTATAGAAAATCTGTGGAGGGAGCTGAAACTTCGAGCTGCCAAACAGGATTTAGAGAGAATCTGTAAAGAGGAGTGGACCAAAATCCCTCCTGAGATGTGTGCGAACCTGGTGACCAACTACAAAAAACGTCTTACCTCTGTGCTTGCCACCAAGGGTTTCTGCACCAAGAACTAAGTCATGTTTTGCTTGGGAATCAAATACTTATTTCACTCACTGAAATGCAAATCAATCTCTAACCTTTATATAATGTGTTTTTTCTGGATTTGGTTGGTATTCTGTCTCTATAAGTTAAAATAAACCTACCATAAAAATTACAGACCCTTCATTTTTGTAAGTGGGCAAACTTACAAAATCAGCAGGGGACCAGATAAATATTTTCACCACTGTATTTCTTGATTTATGCCTTAGTTTTAGGTTGTAATGTTTACCTTTTTTAAAGTAATGCGAAATTTATATTTTTATTTGTACTTATTTATTGCATTTTTTATTTATTTTTATTGATATATTTGTATTTGCATTTTGAATGTAATTTGGCAATTAAATGCATTAAATTGATTTATTTCTCAGTTATTAATGTATGCAATTTCAGCAAAAAAAATGTTAGTTGTTTAAATTAGCAAAAAAAAATACAATTGTTGTTTATTTTAAGAGACCTATCTTATTTTCTTTTGTATTTTTAGTATTGCTCTTTAATAAAGAAAAATGACTTCTTATCCGATTAATCGATGGAATAATCGGTAGAATACTTGATTACTAAAATAATCGATAGCTGCAGCCCTAAATATCAGTAGACAGTACAAACATGAAAGACGAAAAACACCATTAAAATGCAAAAACGATTATAAAACACTTCTTAAGACAACAGAACATAGTTACCTTTATTTTTTTGCTCTGCAACCTGAAACAAGGAAAAAAATAGTCAGTATGGTTATTTAAAATTACTCAAAGTACAGAACAATGTTTGCTAGGACAATGCCCGAGTTTTATTCCTCCATAGATTTGTGCCATGCATGACTTGATGACAGATATCATGATGCTGCTGAATGGCTGATTCTGATTCAGAAACATTGACAGCCAATCAGAATCCACCCAACTTCAATGAGTTTGAGCATTCAAAGCAGCAGATGACAGCTCACGCTTAGAATATTGTCCGTTGGTGTGGACGCTAATAAAGTTAGTGCTCTGGGTGTCAACAGTCCTTTACAGTTTACCCACAGCAAAAGAACGAGAAAAACATAAGACAATGGCTAAGCAAAAAAATTACAGAAAAGATGACAAACTACTTTATATCCAATATTACTTTTAGTATCTCTAGTTCTAAAATAACTCTCTGACAAACTAGTAACAGTGGCTTGGATGACCTTCAAATTATTAACAAGATGCTAAATCATTTCTACACACATAAGATGAAAAAGTGACTCCAGAATGCGCACCTACATTGTGGCCACATGTATTACCACCACAGGACGTGCATTAATTTACTATAATTTAACTGTCCAACATAATTAAATCATACCTAATATAACAATTACCTTCTGTGAGGTTTCCCGTTTCCTTTTATCTTCCTTTTTCCTTTTCTTGTCTTCCATGAACTGCTGTTCCCTTTCCTGGTGCTCCTTTCTACAAAAATCATGAATTACTGTTTAAAAAACAATTTTAGTCAAAACTAACATGCTCAACTGTAAAAGCTTCTCAAAAAAAAAATAGGCCTATTTTTGTCTATGTATGCACGACCAAATATCTGGAAAATGAACAGTTTCGTTGAGTATCACCTTCAACCAGTTGGCTGTTACCAAACCAAATGCATAACAGCGGCACCAAACACATTATCATTTGATCACAAATAACTGTATATGTAACATCAATGGTATGCCGTTTTAGGCTCGGTCTGAGTTTGCATATGCCATGCATTAAAAGGGATGTCGATTAAAATCATACACGATCTTCATAATGGGAGAAACTCCTGCTGCTATCTGTCTGTGAGCCTGCAGTTGGCAGGGCAGAGTCGTCGGACAGGGGCTCCCTTCACCCGCCCATTTCCTCCGGTGCAATATATGATATTACATACACTCCATACGTCAGCTATTTGAACGATTCGAGCAAAAACAAGTATTAAAACGAGTGTTAAACGGCAAAAACTGAAATAGTGAGTTAAGTCGTACGCTTTTGTGGTCCTGCCAAACTCGGATGCATGTTACCGAGTTAGCTAGTTTGTTAGCAAGATAAAATTGACATACTAAACGTAAATCTCAGGTAGTTTTGTTAATTTCCCCCAGAAGCCGCCGATTATTTGTATACGGATCACAAGAAAAATCAAAACGGTAAGCGACTGTCAAAACCAGACATGCATAAATATGCCTTTGGTCAAATATTGGAAGCAATAGCGAGCCAGGACTATAAGACGAGGATACACTGCCCATTAAAACCATAAAGCCACCTCATATTTGTTTTCATTTAATGCAAACATTGTCTAGATTCATTAGTAAGGTACTAAATACGCACGGGTATGTTTTTACGATCGACCAGCGGAAAGCTAAAGTTGCTTTCCAGACCAGACAGATGCTAACTAGCTGGCTAGCTAGTTTAACTAGCAACGAGCTAGTGGCTAACAGATGTCGACGCGGAAAAACTGTATCGCGCATAAATGCTTTCAAGCTACTGCGGTTTTTCAAATGCATACGACTGTCAATAGTAATACACAACATGTTATATGATTTGCTCTTTAAAACAAAGCACTTCACTTACCTCAGGAATTACATGCACCGCAGCTAGTCTTCTAGCTAACGTCACAGCTAAAGTGCTTAAGTGCGAATTTCTGGGTTTTGAGGCAACGTGAAATACAACACTCCATCAAACTCTAATAGCTAGTCATGAAAACACTCCTTCTATAGTTTTTAAATATGAAATACTATAATGTAAACGAAAGAGGCGGAATCTGTGTTTAAAGCGCTGTAAAGTCAGTTGGTTGACGGTCGGCCATTTTACTGCTCGGTGTGAATGTGTGTGTCTGGACAGATCTGACGGAAGGGGGGCAGCCGGGGGAGATTTTTGACCTTCAATATTAAAAGTCCAATAACTCTTTCTATAATAAAAAAAATGAACCGTTTATTTTGAGGTCTAGCACTTTTTGGTTGTTCATTGCGCATTAAGTACATAAGGCACATAATTCTCATGCATCATCAATTAAATGGCTAACTTCGTCAACGTCTATCGTTTCAAATTTCATGATTTGAATTTACTTTTTTTTTTTTTTTTTTTTAAACATCCATTTGGTACGGTACAATAAAAAATTAAGTACAACAGGTTTGCAAATTTAAAAAAATATGTTTATGTTGTCATTATAATAAAAATATTAAAGACAAAAATATTATCTGGGGAAAAAAATACTTATTTATTAATCTTTTGTCTAACCACTGTATAAAACTGTCCACTGAATAAAATAATCATGATTAATTCATGGTTTCCAGTCATGTTTTACAATGCAGAATGAAACAATAATAATGCCACAATCAGTCTTTTTTACACTTTTCTTTTCAGCTGATTTGTTTTTGCTGTTGTGGTGCCTTGGGGGTCCCTGGGTCCAAGTTTCAAGTTTTGAAACTCGTTTTAGCATCATTTTAAGTATAAAATGTTGTTTGGAAATATGTTTTTATTGCACTTTAAATCTCTGAGTTAAAAAAAACGCAAACCACTTTTTGGCTATTACTAATATCTACTAATTACTAACATTAGGCCATAAACATTAGTAATGTTGTCATCAGTACAGATTATTATCATTAGTAATGTTTTCATGAGTATAGTTTATTTTCCATGGTGTCCAACAAGAATGTTTAACCACGTTTATTCTTGACTCAGAAAAATATGGCCCCAAGAAAAAAAGGCGAGAAGAAAAGGAATACAGAGGAGGTTACTGAAACAAAGGAGCCACAACATTCTGGTGCAGAACCATCAGATGGCAGCAGCAGAGAAGAAAAAATGGCACAGAAAAGGAAGATAAAGCCTAAGAAAAAATACATAGGTGCTCACGTCTCAATATCAGGTGAGCAAAAAAGCTTTTTTCTAAATAAGGTGTTTTTGCTGAACGCATATCAATTTTTAAAATATTCTTAAGGAGGAATATGGAAAGCAGTCGAATCAAGTGTGGCCATAGGAGGTCATGCTTTTGCACTTTTCTTGGGCTCCCAGCGCTGCTGGACGAGACCAGCCCTTGATACAGCAGCTGCAGTTAAATTTCAAGAAGCCTGTGCTCAACATGGCTTTGATCCGATACACATCCTGCCACATGGATCTTATTTGATGAACTGCGGTTCCCCCAAAGAAGGTTTGTGCGCTGACTGTACCCGATGTGTGGTTCTATGCATGCAACAAATACGGAATATTCAAAAACAGCTCAGTTGATTTAATCAATTTTCAGTCCTATAATTAGTACTCTAGGCTGCATATGTTGTATATTTAAGATTGTATGTCAGATGACTCTGCATTTTTAAATCCAGACGTGTTCAGTAAGAGCCAGAACATGCTTGTGGATGAACTGAGTCGCTGCAGTGCACTGGGCCTCAGCCAGTTTAACTTTCACCCTGGAGCTTCTATAGACTCCACCCCTGAGAAATGCATGGAGAAAATTGCCCAAGCTATTAACCACGCACACCAGCAAACCCCTGCTGTCATTACAGGTCAACTATACAATCCTGATGATTTCTAGAGAATGTGCAATTGTGCTCATGCTTTCTGGTAAATTTAGCTGAATAATGTTCTTCTTTCTTTCTTTCTTTTGTTCTTTATTTTCCTTCAACAGTACTTGAAAACATGAGTGGTCAGGGCAGCACTATAGGTGGGCAGTTCAGTGAACTGAGAAGTATAATAGACTCGGTACGTGACAAGACACGTGTTGGGGTGTGTCTGGACACTTGCCATGCTTTTGCAGCAGGTATGTTATGAAGTCCCATAGATATTACTACAAATTATTTATTTTACATAAACAATGTTTACATGTCCACAAGACAAAATAATAGCTGAATTCCTAAAAATGAGCCCGTTCAAAAGTTTACATACACTTGATTCTCAATACTGTGTCTATAGATGCTTAAACATGCACTGATGCTCCAGTAGGAAACATGATGCATTAAGAGCCAGGGGGGTGAAAACCTTTGAACATGATGAAGATGTGTACATTTTTTTTATTTTTTAATGGCTAACTTCGTCAACGTTTATCGTTTCATTTTAAATTTTTTTAATTTTCTTTTTTTTTTTTTTTTTTTTTGCAAAAACATCCATTTGGTACGGTACAATAAAAAATTAAGTACAACAGGTTTGCAAATTTAAAAAAATATGTTTATGTTGTCATTATAATAAAAATATTAAAGACAAAAATATTATCTGGGGAAAAAAATACTTATTTATTAATCTTTTGTCTAACCACTGTATAAAACTGTCCACTGAATAAAATAATCATGATTAATTCATGGTTTCCAGTCATGTTTTACAATGCAGAATGAAACAATAATAATGCCACAATCAGTCTTTTTTACACTTTTCTTTTCAGCTGATTTGTTTTTGCTGTTGTGGTGCCTTGGGGGTCCCTGGGTCCAAGTTTCAAGTTTTGAAACTCGTTTTAGCATCATTTTAAGTATAAAATGTTGTTTGGAAATATGTTTTTATTGCACTTTAAATCTCTGAGTTAAAAAAAACGCAAACCACTTTTTGGCTATTACTAATATCTACTAATTACTAACATTAGGCCATAAACATTAGTAATGTTGTCATCAGTACAGATTATTATCATTAGTAATGTTTTCATGAGTATAGTTTATTTTCCATGGTGTCCAACAAGAATGTTTAACCACGTTTATTCTTGACTCAGAAAAATATGGCCCCAAGAAAAAAAGGCGAGAAGAAAAGGAATACAGAGGAGGTTACTGAAACAAAGGAGCCACAACATTCTGGTGCAGAACCATCAGATGGCAGCAGCAGAGAAGAAAAAATGGCACAGAAAAGGAAGATAAAGCCTAAGAAAAAATACATAGGTGCTCACGTCTCAATATCAGGTGAGCAAAAAAGCTTTTTTCTAAATAAGGTGTTTTTGCTGAACGCATATCAATTTTTAAAATATTCTTAAGGAGGAATATGGAAAGCAGTCGAATCAAGTGTGGCCATAGGAGGTCATGCTTTTGCACTTTTCTTGGGCTCCCAGCGCTGCTGGACGAGACCAGCCCTTGATACAGCAGCTGCAGTTAAATTTCAAGAAGCCTGTGCTCAACATGGCTTTGATCCGATACACATCCTGCCACATGGATCTTATTTGATGAACTGCGGTTCCCCCAAAGAAGGTTTGTGCGCTGACTGTACCCGATGTGTGGTTCTATGCATGCAACAAATACGGAATATTCAAAAACAGCTCAGTTGATTTAATCAATTTTCAGTCCTATAATTAGTACTCTAGGCTGCATATGTTGTATATTTAAGATTGTATGTCAGATGACTCTGCATTTTTAAATCCAGACGTGTTCAGTAAGAGCCAGAACATGCTTGTGGATGAACTGAGTCGCTGCAGTGCACTGGGCCTCAGCCAGTTTAACTTTCACCCTGGAGCTTCTATAGACTCCACCCCTGAGAAATGCATGGAGAAAATTGCCCAAGCTATTAACCACGCACACCAGCAAACCCCTGCTGTCATTACAGGTCAACTATACAATCCTGATGATTTCTAGAGAATGTGCAATTGTGCTCATGCTTTCTGGTAAATTTAGCTGAATAATGTTCTTCTTTCTTTCTTTCTTTTGTTCTTTATTTTCCTTCAACAGTACTTGAAAACATGAGTGGTCAGGGCAGCACTATAGGTGGGCAGTTCAGTGAACTGAGAAGTATAATAGACTCGGTACGTGACAAGACACGTGTTGGGGTGTGTCTGGACACTTGCCATGCTTTTGCAGCAGGTATGTTATGAAGTCCCATAGATATTACTACAAATTATTTATTTTACATAAACAATGTTTACATGTCCACAAGACAAAATAATAGCTGAATTCCTAAAAATGAGCCCGTTCAAAAGTTTACATACACTTGATTCTCAATACTGTGTCTATAGATGCTTAAACATGCACTGATGCTCCAGTAGGAAACATGATGCATTAAGAGCCAGGGGGGTGAAAACCTTTGAACATGATGAAGATGTGTACATTTTTTTTATTTTGTTGAAATATCATATTTTTTCAATTTAGTACTGCCCTTCAGAAGTTACAGAAGATGTTGTTTCCCAGAAGACAAACACAATACAAGTTAAATTTACCCTGATCTTCAAATTCAAAAAGGTTTCACCTCCCGGTTAATGCATCATGTTTCCTTCTTGAGCATTTGCATACGAGTCCCTCAGTTGTCATCTGTGTGACCTCTTATTTTGGTAAAGTAATTAACATTTTGCAGATTCTGCCAGATATATATATATTTGAGATTTGAGCTGATTCTCTTCTGTATAGGCTACGACATTTCACCACCTGGAGGAGTGAAGAATATACTTGATGAATTTGATCGTGTGGTCGGGTTGCATTATTTGAGAGCCATTCACTTAAATGACTCCAAAGGTATGCAACATTAATTTGAACTTATCAATATAGAGTGCTGCTGGAATTTGTAGGCCAAAACCCAGAAACAAGTTAGCACTTTAGCATGTTCCATTCCCTCGTCCTGAATTCTATTTTGATTAAATGCCTGAAGTAAGGTCTGTGGTTAAAGCAGCACTATGTAACTTTTGGCGCTCTAGCGGTTAATAAACAGAACTGCACACATCCCGCGGAAGAACATTCCAACCGGAGCTACTTCTCTAAGTTTATGTCTATGGCGATTCACGCAGGTATGTGTTACTCCGCAGCGGTGACGACCCGACCAGGCTACAATAATCCAAATATAAGTACTTATTATAAGTGTACCGTAGTGATTCGGAATAAGACAAAAACGCGGTTTGGAAGATGAATTCATGATGTACTCGCTCATTATATACATTTTGCAAATTTTGAATTCAGAAAAAGTTACATAGTGCTACTTTAACACAAACTCAATATATTTTCACGTTTCTACATCATGAAATAAATCAGTAATGCACCCCTATGATTTTTTAAGCTAAAGCCAATGGAAAATCCTATTGGATTTTTGTCGAGGGAACCAGGGTGAAGCTAACTTCTTGGTTGGCCTACAAAAATAAAAAGTCTTCACCACAGCACTCTATTGCTGTAATTGTTTGTGGAGTGACTTAATTTATATGCAAAACACTGACAGTGTTGCAAGTTTAGCTATATATCCCATATTGAGTAGCTTTGTTACTGCTTTTGAGATTGCGTAATTTTTCTTTAAAAAGGACAATTAGGCTGCCACCTGGACCGCCATGAAGACATTGGATGTGGCCAAATAGGCATTACTGCTTTCCGAGAAATTGTTAATGAGCCTCGACTGGATAATATCCCTCTGATTCTAGAAACACCTGGTCGGTAAGTTTCAGGTTGGATAAACAACATTTTGTTGTAAATTAAATGAACAGGCACCACTGACATGCATTTAATCTGCATCCTCTCTTTCTAGACCAGGTTTTGAGTATGCTGAACAGATAGAGCTCCTTTACTCCCTTTGTGAAAAAAAGAAGAAGAATTAAACATCTGCTTGGTGCCGGCTTCCATGGTGGAGTTATTATTGGTGAAGCATAATAATAAATATTTGCCTGTTTATGACAAGCTGCATCTTTAATAATCGAGCATTTAAGGAGGTCTCTATTTAATTAGGTTATCTTTATTGCTGTTCAAATACTAATTGTATTTGTTTTTGGTCACAGATGTTTTTCATTTTTTTCTGTTAATTAAATAAGTGGTTTAATTTAGTCTTCCCACAGGTTGAATAGATCAGTATTTTAAACATTTCATAAGACTCGGTCTACATTTTGACCATAAGAGGGAGCCAGGAGCCAGAATATGGATACAAATGTCAGAAGCAGCAACTGTAAGCCTGTTCATTATGCGGCATGTCTTTTCAATGTTCTTCAAAATTCTCCCTCATATCTTTATTGTACGTTAGAGGGAACTACTTTAATTTGTTGACCATCTTCACCCATCAGCCCAGACCAGCTGCTCTCACAGAGGGTGCAGCTCTGCACATTCACAGCCCATCATTAGCTGGACCACACAAGAATGCCACATGCAGTCGTGCAAAAACACATTTTTAGTAAAGCTGCCAATCTGTAAGCATGAAAATGCCATTTATGTGATGACATTGGCAACGGTAGGATTTTGGGAAGTTTAACATGCCAATGCCTATAGAAGCTGTTTTAGACTTTTAAAGTAGCAGTAGGAAGGATGTTTCAAAGTATGAATTTATACAGGAAGACAGAAATGCGTTGCACTGGAATCTGCTACTCCTGTGCCAGCCAAGAGGAAATATAATTCAGGGAGATAAGAAACCACAGGGCAAAGCAGAGGTTTTGAAACATAATCATAAGAAGTATGTGAATGAATATGTATTCATATCTAATGTTTTGGCCCTGTTCTGTGTTGTTTTGGTTCCTCTTTGTTTCATCCAGATGATAACTATTTGGTACACATGTGGCACGAAAAATGTTTCCAGGTCTCATTTTTACCACAGAGACTTTACCTGAAATGAAACAACTTGGCATTATTAAAGTTAATTAATAGAGCCTGAGGTTTAAAACTCAGAGTCTGTTATACTTAGTGTTAAATACTTGATTTTATATAAAAAGGGCTATAATCAGTGTTGGGGAAAGTTACTTTTAAAAGTAATGCATTACAATATTGCGTTACTCCCTAAAAAAGTAACTAATTGCATTACTTGGCTACTTTTTATGGAAAGTATTACGTTACGTTACTTTTGCGTTACTTTTTCTCATCTGGGCTGGGCTTGCTAATTTGATTTTAATATAAATTCAGGATTGCATGAAGCATAGAATGCAGGAGAAGAAAGTTCAACACTCTTCAGCAATGAAACAAAAAGAAAAAAAACAAATGTCATGTTTATTTTAAGTCACTTTTTGCTTATTAATATGGCTGAATTGGATCATCGAAGGTCGGCAGTAAAGATATTGATTAATAAAATGGGATTAAATGCATAAAATATATTTGTGTTATTTAATACATTTAATTATTGCAGGTTTGCATTGCTCTGTTTTCATTCATCTTGAGGAATCGTCATGTTTATTTTAAGTCACTTTTTGCTGATTAATATGGCTGAATTGGATCATCGAAGGTCGGCAGTAAAGATATTGATTAATAAAATGGGATTAAATGCATAAAATATATTTGTGTTATTTAATACATTTAATTATTGCAGGTTTGCATTGCTCTGTTTTCATTCATCTTGAGGAATACTGAATCTATTTTTGTGCAAGTGAGATGAGTAAATGCATGTTCACATTTAGTCTAGAACTACAGTAACATCATGTTCACACAGCACCTCTGCACTTACTCCCGATTTCTCTCAACACGGGGACAGGAGAGCTGTCAGTCAATGAATGGGAAAACAAAGTAACTGGAGTTACTTATTTGAAGTAACTCAGATATTTTATTGTAAGTTAAAAAGTAATGTGTTGCTTTACTAGTTACAAGAAAAAAGTAATCTGATTACATAACTCGCGTTACTTGTAACGCGTTGCCCTCAACACTGGCTATAATATTCTGTAATATCTAATTTTTTAGACATGCACAATTCAGTTTACCTTAAAAACAGCTAAAGGCAAAGTCAAAGAAGAACAAACTGTTTTGAGGCTGCAGGACTCAAGGGTTGGGCCTTCACATAATATCAGATGTTACTGTTTGAACAGTAGTTTACCCCATGTCGCACATTTGTTGGGATCTGTCAGAACAACCGGTTCACATGTTGGCTGTGTGAAATGAACAGCACAGTTTCTGAGTGTCCTTAAGAACTGCAAATGTCAATGTTTAGGTAAGCGCGCATGTAACATCAGGCTTAGCAAAGCCTCACATCAACAGACTGACAGCCTTATGAGCCAGATGACGCAGTGCCGGATCATGAGCAAAATCAATGGAACACAGACTTTTTCTACTGAGTTTCTCACAAATCACAAACCAACTGCAATTTCTCTAATTTAGTTTTAGTGTAATGTTTGTCAGCAAGAAAAGACAAATGTAAGATTTATTCAGATTTATGTCGAACCACATGAATGTGCATCCTTTTTGACTTGCATTCTTCAGCAAACGCATTTAATGAGGTAACCATTTAACAGTGCAGTTAGTGAAATGGCTGTATATGGCTTTGACTGCGTCTCCGCTGCTGACCCTTACCAAGGAATTTTCCGGAGTGGTGGCTGGGCATAGAGCCACAGAGCGACAGGCCTTCACACACAGAGGCCCAGAGGCCACAGGCTCCAGTCTGGTCCTCCAAGAGTTCTGTTGCTCCGGTAACCACATAACAACCAGATAGTCTGTGCCTGCCAGTGAATATTTACTCTCCTGAAATTTAGCTGAAGGATGCAGATGGATATTTTGATATATAAATAAATAATTATTTTATTCATCATACTAGCTTGCACTTTAAAATGCTACTACTGTATAAAAACACAAATGACTAAAAGTGCCACGCTTTATGCCCTCCTTGACACACTCTACCATTAAGATCCCACCCCTGCCACACCACAAGGGTAATTACACTGAGATATGTGCACAGACTTCAAATGCACATGCGAAAGGATCCAACAGAAACAGACTAGGAACCTCAAGTTTGCTCAGACAGACACAAACATTTGTTGGCAATACACACACTATGCTAACTGCGAAAGAATGACGGATACATGAGGACACAATGGTCCATTTGTTTGTTTTAGGAAGCGTACACTTTCAGGTGTTTTTCTTTGACTATGTGTCTAGTCTTTGTCAAAGGCTAAAGGGAAAGATTTCAGATCTTTTTAAGCGTGTGTGTGCATGAGTGGAGACAAGCAAGGCATGGACACACAAACACACAGAGGGGTCAGAGGTCAGACTACAACATTCCTCACAACACTGAACACACACTCACAGGTTTACATTTGTGAAAAGTGGGGACATCCCATAGGCGTAATGGTTGGCTAAACTAAGTAAACACACACACAGTTATGTAAGCTGTCCTCCTAAGTGTTATCACACCAAGCAGATAGATTCAGGATTAGGGAATGGGATGACATTTTCCATGAGATCCACAGCAGTCTTTTCATATCACATACAACCAGGGCTCTTTATAGTGCTTGTAGACTGGTCAAAGAGAAAAAGTATAGTTTTGGATTAGCTACTTTGGCTTCAGGGGACTGTTTTAAGTCACTAAAGTTGATTCTGACACTATGGGCATCTATGTATGTGTGTGTGTGTGTGTGTGTGTGTGTTGAGTTTCCTGCTAGCTCAGGTCCAGCAGCCTCACAATTGCCTATTGTCTGGGCCGAGTCACACTTCCTGACAGGGCAGAATTCACGGAAGCAGGGACATAGTCCAAACAAATTCTTTGGGCTACACCTCCACCCTGGTTTCATCGCACCCGCCATTCCAAGGAGCCGTGTGCCAAGAAAGGGCATGTTCCCAACAGGAAGTTTATTAGCGTCAAGCTCCTCAGGAAAGCTGGGGGGAAGCAGGTGGAGTCGGGAATATGACTGGTTTCTCATGTACTTACTGACCAAAATATGGATGTGTTTATCCTAATTATGTGTTCATTTAGTCTGTAAGGTCATAAAGATGCTCTGTCTTTAGTTTCTAGGTTAATTTTAAATGCTAAAAATTCTCTAACAGCCCCCGACCCACACATTAAACACCCCATCCTCCATCCAACCCGACACCCACACCCACCCACACACACACACACATTAAACCCCCCATCCTCCAACCCGACACCCACACCCACCCACACACACACACACACACAGACAAGAAAAAAACGCTTTCCTTTTGAGACGCCAACATCTGGCTTTCATAACCCAAGTCAGTGCTCCTTTCCAGCTACTAATGGACTTTAAATAGGAGATCTGGCCACTGGGCTCTGTGTCTGTGCCTTGGCGCAACAATTAGACAAATATTTGCTTTTAGGGGAAAATTGGATGGAGAAATATGAGAAAAATATGTTGGCACATGCTTGTGTAATTGACAGTCTCTGAACCCCTCCATTGTTCTTGTCAGTCACTTAATATCCATGCACACACAGTATCCCACATAGTGTATTCTTCAGAAATGGAAAGGAAGGTGTAGATCAGGAAACGGACCATTAAAACAAGACAGACGGAAATCTCTGATAGTTGGGTAATGTTCGGCAAGTTAATAATTCACTGCATGGATTCCAAAATCCTAAATTGAAAGCTCCAAAATAACAAAAAGACATTGAAAATGTTCTCAGCTTCTTGGTGACTTATGGTGCTTTTCCATTGCATGGTACGGCACAATACGGTTCGGTACGGTTCACTTTTGGGGGTTTTCCACTGGGTACAGTACCTGGTACTTTTTTTAGTACCACCTCGGTTGAGGTTCCAAGCGAACCGTACCGTTACCAAAACGTGACGTGCAAACTCTGCTGATCACGGATTGGCCGGAGAGAATCGTCACTATCTGCGTCACTGAACTTGCGACACAAACACAAAAGAACCACTAGATTTAAATCAGCACAGCCAGCGAAGGATCGAACGCAACTGTTT